GATATAAAATTTTGTGACGTAATTATATTATCCGAATGTTTTCAATTAGAATCTACCTCACAGTTTAATCTACAGGGTTACAACATACACTACAACAACAGTAATATTAATAGAAATGATGGTGTCATAGTTTTAGTCAAATCAAAATTAAATGCAGAAATAAACACAATAAAGCTCGAACTTTCAGGCATTTGTATTACTAAAATAAACATAACAGCAAATCATACAACTATTGGCATTAGTGCTTTATATAGGTCTCCTCAAACTTCGGCAGATACATTTATTCGAGACATAGAAAATTACATCCCCACTCACCTAAACAAAAGTATTGAAATGTTTATAGGAGACATTAATATCGATCTCCTGGACGGAAAAAATCATATCACAACTACGAAGCAACTCTTCACTCAAATGGCTTCTTGTCTTATATAAATACAATTACACGGGCTCAGAGTAAAACCTGTTTGGATCACATATTTTTAAGAAACAATATTAAAACCGAAAAATTAAAATTCAACTCATATGTGATAAACTACGATTTAACCGATCATGATCCGGTTATGATAAATATTTCAAAACCTCTTTCAATAAATAAAACAAAATCTCTAACTACCTATACAACTATAACTAAAATTGATAATGACAAACTAATTTCTAAATTTGAAGCTTTAACATGGGAAAGTGTTCTCAATGAAAATAACCCTGAAATAGCAACTCAAAAGTTCTATGACAAATATCTCAATAGTATTGAATCATGTAAAATTGTAAAAAAAATTAAACAAAAAATTCATAAAAAGATAAAACCTTGGATAACAAATGGCTTAATCAATTCCATCAAAAACAGAGATAAACTAAAAAAGCAATTACAAAAAAAGCACTCCATTAATAAAGAAAATGAATATAAAATTTTTAGAAACAATTTAAATAAATTAATATTGAAAACAAAAAATGATTACTATAAAAATGAAATAAATAAACACAAGAATAACTTAAAAAAAACCTACCAGATAATTTCAGAAGCTACAAATGACAGCTGTAAAAAAAGTCAAAACCACTTGGTAATTGTTGATGATGGGAATAAAGATTTCAATACTGACAAAGAAATGGCGAACTATTGTAATAAATATTTTACCTCCATTGGTACAAAAATGTATGAAACCATTCGTGATTGTAAAATAAATTACCCTGTACAAACGATGATAACTAAGTCAATATTCTTAAAACCTATTTGTGACAATGATACAATTAGATATATAAATAGCCTAAAGAACAACAGTACCCCTGGATTTGATTGTGTATCAGTAAAACACTTAAAACTATTACATCCGTTCATTGTAACTCCCTTAAAACATATAATTAATACAATATTCTGTACTGGGATTGTACCGAAACATTTTAAAAAATCCATTATAACCCCGATCTATAAAACCGGTAACCCAAACTTAATAGGTAATTACAGGCCAATCAGTTTAATTAGTAATATCGCAAAAATATTTGAGAAATGTTTGAAAGAGAGACTCATTGAATACTTAACAATTAACAATCTGCTTCCTCAGCATCAATATGGTTTTACAGAGGGTCTTAATTCGAGTGATGCTATGCATGCACTAATATCTCATGTAGCTGAAGAAATGAACAACAATAAAAAATGTATCGCCACCTTTTTGGATTTAGCAAAGGCTTTTGACACAGTGCCACACCAAAAACTTCTCGATGTACTTGAAAAGAATGGGATAAGAGGCACTGCATGGAAAGTCTTTGAAAGCTATCTGACTCAGAGGGAACAACAAGTTAAAATAAGAGATAGTCTTAGTAATCCTGAATATGTACAAATTGGTATACCTCAAGGTACTGTCTTAGGGCCAATATTATTCAACTTATACATCAAAGGCTTGACTGAGATTGACATTCAAGGTAAAGTAATTTCTTATGCAGACGATACTGTGCTGGTCTTCAGTAGTAAAGATTGGGATTCTACAAAAATGCAAGCCATACAAGGAATTGAACATGTAAAAAACTGGTTAGACGTTTTTAAATTATCCTTAAATATCAAAAAAAACGAACTATATAGCTTTCTCTAAAACATTAGCTGATCGCCCTCATTTTAAAGAAATAGTTACCAGTAATTTGGACTCTAAAATACAAGAAACAGAAACTACTAAATACTTGGGTATAATTATAGACCAACATTTAAAATGGGACTCTCATATAGCATATATATCAAAAAAGCTTAGATTTATAATCTATAAATTTTATCTTTTAAAACAATTTCTTAACCAAAATCTCTTAATAAGCCTATATTTTAGCCTGGTAGAATATATTCTACGTTATGGTATACTAGTATGGGGAGGCCTATATGAAACAACCCTTAGACCACTAAATGTCATACAAAATAAAATACTGAAAATTATCTTCAACAAACAGCGATTATATCCTACTATTCTACTATATAATGAAACAATATCTAATGTTAGAAGTTTATACATGAACACAATATGCTGTTACATACAAAAACATGAGGTACTAAAAAAACCTCTGGGTCATCAACACAAAACCAGAACTTTTAGTAACTTGAATATTAAAATATCTATGCCTAATAGTGAATCTTTCAAAAATTGTATAAATTACTTAGGACCAAAGTGTTACAATGCTTTACCTCCTGAGATCAAATTAATTAACAAACAACATTTATTTAAGAAAGCGTGCAAATCCTTCATCTACCAAAACTACTCAAAATTGTATAGATTCTTCTTAGAATAACACATATCTCACTGTAATATGTTGAAACCCTGTAGATTACAAGATTATAACATTATTACATATTATATAATATAACATTGCTGCCTTATTACATTTAACATTTATATAAAAATACATTAACTTTATATTTTAGTTTTTTAATCTTTATGTATTAGTTTTTTAGTCTGTCTAGCACATACAGGTGCCCACACCTAGGTGCTAACTTATTTACCTATGATTAATTTATAATTTGTTTATTGTTGTAATTAATCATGTTATGTAATTAATCCTGTCATAAATAAATTGAAATAAATTGAAATAAATTGAATTGAAAAAAAAAAAAAAAAAAAAAAAAAAAAAAAAAAAAAAAAAAAAAAGCGATTTAAAAAATGGCGGGCTTCAAAATTTAGGAAATTTGAAGCAATTTCAAGTAACATTTTTCTGTTTTACAGCTTTTACTTGCAATAATTAAAACAATAAGTAAAATGAATTTTTATTGCAAGTAAATGCTGAAAAACGGAAAATATCACTTGTTTTAAATGAAAAATAAAAACATTTTTAATAACTTTATTTTATTTAGAATAGGTATTTATGTCATTTATGTCATTACAAAATAAATTTAGTCTGCCCGAACTCTCTACAAAATCACATTTGCGTGCATTCGGTATTTCGAAAATAACGTAGTTGGTAATTAGCGTAAGGACCCTATTGGTGCTTGCCCGATCTCTCTAATAACAGACGATACCCTAAAAATATTGTGATGCGATGTTTCCCCGTTTATTGGACTGAACTTCATATTAAACTGAAAGCGCAAAACCATAAACGAAAGCACGCCACATAGCGAGGTGATTTTTATTTTTATTCGACGTTTTAACTTTACTCATTTTTATTTATTTTAGGAATTATAAAACTATATGTATTATGTATAGTACATTATAGGAAATTTGCTCAAGAAAAATGACACAGATACAAGGCTATCTATCATAAAGTAAAGAATATATTTCACCCCATTAGTTATGTATTTTTAACAAATAAGTTAAATTATATTGCTTAAATAATGGGATTTCTTATGTCCAACTGTGGTTAGATATTCATCCGTTTTGTCTCTGTACAGGATGTCCCAAATTGGTAAGTTTTGTAGGGTAGGTACTTCGAAAACTAGAGGAAATAGTGAAAAAGTTGTTAAGCTGTCATGCCTTTTTTTGTTAAAGTTACGATTGCTCAATCAAATCTTTAATAGCTCCCTTCATTTGCCAGATACAGGGTGATTGAAAACTTTCGGACACTACAAGGTTCTATAACTTCTTCATTAAGGAAACTATTAAAAACTTTACAGTAACTTTTGATAGATATTAAGAGGTAAGTGGCGTACCAAAAAAAAATTAGGAGTCGTTACTAAGGAAATATAATAAAGGGAGCGCAAAAGTCGCTGCGGGGTTTTAAATAGTCATAACTGTTGTATTATATAAATTTTATTAATTTTTTTACTATAGTAATAGTAATAGTAATAGTCATATTAAAACATTAAAACGTTGGAGAGAAAAAATGGCCTAGCCAAAATGGTGGAGGTGACTTTTGTGAAACACATAACAAATAACTGGAAAATAAACAAAAAATCAGCCATATGAAAATAGGTCACGTGTATACCCACTCACGTACTACTTTAAAATGTTGGAGAGAAAAATTGGCCCAGCGAAATTGGTAGAGGGTTAAATATTTCTTGTAGGTGAATACTTTTCGTCGAACGAGAATAATGAAAATGATAAGAAAATAAGGCAGTTTTCAAAAAGGCCGCACCATTTGTAATGTCTATAATTACCTAAACGCCCCAGTCTGAACGTCGCGCTTTCGTGAATTTGTTGGACACGTATCATAGTACAATTTAATAATACATTCGGCCATAAGAAAATAAGTCACAAACCTGCACGTTGGCTCTAGGACTATAATGACGTGCTAATATTTCAGGATGGAGCTAGACTAAAATATGTACCAAAGAGCTTTCGGAGGTATTAAAATATAACTGTTTAAAAACATTTTCTTCAATACCCTGTAGCAAAAGAATTAAGCTAATATGTTCTCATGACCTCTTCTTCATAGAATTATCCGAGAAATCAAACACTGTAATATTAGCACGTTATTAAGGAACACCCTGATTATAGAAGGTGGAATTTTCAAACTAACATTTTCAATTATTGGAAATTATTAATGAAGATTCCACCTTTTATTTTTAGAGTGAATCAATGAAAATGAAATTGACTTACTGGGGTTGGAGCTTCATTGGTGTAAACTACCCTCTGTGGTACATATTGGGGTGCTGCAAGGATGATCGTGCATGAAGCAACTAACAGTAATACAGTGTAATGCCACATCTTATTCTAAAATAAAAATATTTAAATTAGTTCAACGTCCATTTTGAGAGATTCGGTTTCAATTTTAGAATTAATACAGTGTGTCCCAATAAAATAAATAATTTTTTCAATAAAAATATTTACTGCATTGATGGATATCAAATCTTATTATTGCAAAAAAAAATATAAGAACCTAATTGGATATATTTATTAACTGAGCTGTGAAAATTGAATCACAGTGTATATTTGATATATTTTTAATATTTTCGAGCTAAAAACATCGCAATTTTATAAAAAATGGCATTAATATAATTTTATTTAAAAAGTAAAGAATTTATTTCTTATTGATTAACTATTTTTATAAATAATATAATACTATAGTCTAAATAAAAGAAGAGTGCAGTACAAGTGCGAATATAACTTTCATAGGCGTCCTTTGCAAAATAAGTTTCTATAATAAAAATAAGGTCACGGCATATAAAATGGTATATAAGCATATTAAATTTTATATAAAAAAATTAACACTTCAGTACCTATAATCAAAGATTAAAAAAATTAAAAGTTCAAGAACTATCTTTAACCCTTAACTATCATGGCCAAAAATAGTAACGTTTATACCATAGCAGGGTCAAAATTGACCCCATTTTTTTTTTTTTATTAAAAAATTTTACTTTCTGGTTTTGTCTTCACCTGAGTTATTTTCTGCACAACCATTTTTACACCTTTATGAAAAAATAGTACAAAAAAACAGTTTTTTTTATATTATTAAAAAAACTGAAATATGTAAAAAAAACTAACATATTAGTAAACTTCCTAAAATTATCAGAAAAATAGAAGAAAAAATCAGTTTTTTAAAAGGCTGCTACCTAGAACAAAAAAAATCCTTTCAAAACTTGTATCGAAAAAAATACAAACATGATATAGGCCTTACTTTTCAATGCAATTTTCACACAAAACCTCCTTGCGGGAATAATTCTTGCAAATAGATTATTGGCATTTATCATACTTTGAGCTTTCCTTCTTTTGATTTTTTGAGTAAGGACATATCTCACACCTTCCTCTCTTTTTGCCTTGTGGTAACTCTGTATCATGTGGCGGTACTGTGTCCTGAATTCCATAAATTTAAAAAATTATACTGCGCAGTTCTCTTGGTAAATTGCTGCTGAGCTCTGCGTTTCATATGTTCTTCTATAAGTTCTTGACCTAAAGTTGTTAAAAATAGTCTTTCTTTAATTTTTTTATTTTGTTGAACACCATTAAAAATAACATTAGCATCTCCGAGTTCTTCTGCCAGTTTTATAGCATGCACATTTTTTATCCAACGAATCTACCCCTCCTTTTGTCTTATAAAAATTTACAATTTCTGGCTTTCCATTTACCATTGCATTTGAATGATGCAAGATACCAGGCTCTCGCTTCCTGTAACGGGCTTAGCTAGCCTGTCCTTGTGAGGTTAACATTTTAAAGGGACCTTTATTTTTTTTTATGCGTATTATGCTTCTTTAGTTTTCTCATTAGCTCAATGACAGAGATAACCAGGAGATATAAGCAGTCATTCATAAAATATAATATTCATGGTGCCAACAATAGTTAGTACTGTATATATTCTATTTCTAGACGCGGGGCGAGGTGACGAAAGGTGAGAAGTAAGAGAAGGGATAGAGTGAAGGATTTTACGTAGTATTATCAATGAATAACTGCCCGAGCTTATACTACATAACGTAAATTTCCATGCCGGTGTAAGCCCTGTTGCCACTTCCAATTTAACATCTCTAGGTTTTGGAATTTGTTGAAAATTATTATCTAATTTAATGAAATTACATCTAATTTGGTTAAAAATGGCTATTTTTTGTTCTAATGCTCAATTAGGTCTTTGTAGAAAGTATTTTTTTTTATAATTATTTAAAATCATTTACATTAGCCCTTATGGTCGAAAAAAAAATTTAAACGTCAATATCTCGGTTTCAACCGTCTACAAATTTGTATAAAAAATGTTCTTTTAGAAATATACTTCTCATTTGACGAAAAACGAAGGCATAAATGAAAAACAACTATTCTTTATAAAAGTTTCGCCTATATATTGACAAGGTAAAAGTACTTTCGTCATATTTTTTGCTTTCAAATTAACAAAAATATAGCAATAAACAATTAGTGATGTCATGGTTTTACTAGAAAGCAAACATTAAAGGCAGAGCCTCTCGACTCTTTATGCATCTATCTCAGTATTGAAATGTATGCAATCAGTTTGAATCTCTAACATTATTTTATACAGGGATTATTGATTTTTCCACTATGAATAATAGGGTGTATTAATTACTTCAAGATTTGTTTTTATTTTTGGTGGAAAATGAAAAATAAGAAAATATAAACTATTTATTAAAGGTATTTATTGAAGTATCAATTATAAACAGTAAGGCTATTGCTTTGCAAAATACAATAAATCCCCAATATAAATAAATTATAATAATAATAATAATTGGAAGGAAGTATATAAAGCATAAATTAATAATATTAAAATTTATAATTACACGACTTTCAAACTAATCAGAATCAGATTCACCACACGAATCAACATTTTCCAAAACATTAGCGGCTGTGCCATACAGGTGCAGGAACCGATACAGCAAATATTTTTTTTCTGCATTTGCAAATTTTGCTTCCGCAGTCTAAAACAGAATATTATTGTTAGAATATTGTATAGTATCTTTTTTGCATTTGCATGATGTAAGTTCTGTTATGTCTGGTGGCAGGTCGGACAGAGTCTTAAAAGTGGGTATCAGACTTCCATCTTGATCTACTTTCCATCCATACTCTTCAAGATTAGGAAGCTGCATCTGGGTTTAAAGAGGTTAGCCAAATATTTAGCTGGTAAAAACATCTTAAACAATGTAGTCTTAGGGCGTCTTCAGTCGGTGGCAATTTAGCGATGGTTTTTGAAGAGGCCAATAATCCCCCCAAAATGTTAATGGAAGTAACATTGGCAGTTTTGAATAAATTTTTATGAAAATTCTTTCAAGATTAGAGAATATGTTTTCAGAGTACTGATCAATGCCAAATCCATCCAAAAAGTAATGGTGTTAAAGGTAAGTTTTCCAACAGGTTCTTTTCCCAATGCTGGACAATTAGCTGGTTGTATTACAACCGGTCAGAGAATGAAAAGCAGGCACATTTTTTAGAAAGTTTTCATCAAAATTTAAATAATGTACTGCTAGAAATCGTCTTGAGTCTCCTCGCCCTGTTCTGAACCATATATCTTCAGTCAAAAACTTCTTAAAATAAATTAATAAGACATCTGTATCGTTGCAATAAATAATGCAGCGTGAATGCCCCGAATTTTTGGCTGACAATATGTGCAATAAGATACGATTATTAGCGTCTTCGTGATTTGAATTTAAAAAATCGTCTTTTGATGGTTTAAAATCTTTCCATATTTATTGATTATTGCGAGTTTTGAAGAAGTTGCTCTGGCAGAAAATGTGTTAAACGTCTTTTGTTAAATATCGAATGAATAAACAAGTTCTATTGTTGCGGAAGTAGAATATTGGGTCGGTCAATTTCTATATCAATTGATTTCTGAAATCCTCTCTTTTGACGTGTTGTATTTTTGATAGAATGTCCTTTATAATGATCAAATACTACATCTATTATTTGAGCATTAAATTTATTTCTAAAAATAATGTTTACAAATATATGAGCATATTCTTTAAATGATATGCAACTTTTGAGCTTTCCTATTTTGATATAATTTTTGTCTTTGCTACTTGTAGCAACAAATCCGTAATTAAAATTTTAAACGAAAACTTATGACTTACCCAAATATATTCAGCTGCAACAGGATGAATGTAGATATAATAAAGATGCAAAAATGTCTATATTTTTTCCCAATTTATTAGGTAATTTAATATATAACACATACACTTATTAATTCTTTAGTAAAAACAGATAACAATATGACACATTGCCCAATGGAACATAACGAGAAGTTTTATAATAAAAAAAATGAAAAATCCTACCATATCAATAATGTGATACATCAGCCGGCACGTAGAGAGAAACAGAGCTATGCTACGTTTGAAGGTGAAGAGAAAGATACACTGAGAGTTGATAAATTTGGCGGTGAGAATTAATAACAGCATAAACCTATGACATCTCTCATCGTTTATTGTTATATCTTTGTTAATTCAAAAGCAAAAAATATGGTGTTTACTCTGTTACCTTGTCAACACATAACCAAAAATTTTATAAGGAATGTTTTTTTTCATTTAGGCCTTCGTTTTTTGTTAAATGAGTGGTATATTTAAAAAAGACGACTTTTTAACTAAATTTTTGAAGGGCTAAAACCAAGATATTTACGTTTATATTTTTTTTCAGCCGTAAGTGCTAATGCAAATGATTTTTTTTAAATAAGTATGAACAATTACTCCCTACAAAGATTTTATTGTGCATTTGATCAAAAAATGAGTATTTTTTTCTCTATTCGGTGGTATCAATATCTGAATTTTTGATGATAATGCCCTTCTGCACACTCTAATTTTGTATTAACTCCGGAATAAGGGTTACCTTATCATGACCTTTCATCTGTGAAAAATTCAGCCTTGTGACAAAAGAGTGGGAGGTGAATCGTTTTCTTGAGCGAATATTTTAATACATACACTTTACTAACAATGACAACAGCGGATATTATGTCCTACTGTGTCCCTTAGAATATGTCTTATTCACGGCCGCACGATATTTGTTAGTAGTTACATCTCCTGGTTATCTCTGCTCAATGAACAAGAACCAGTTATCGGCAGTTACGTTCCTGTTGGTTCATGATATTGGTGGAATAAGTGCCAGCACATCTAGGGTAGGGATCGATAACTTTCTTGGATTTGTTTTGTGACTATCCTTTCTAGAATATATAACATCATATAACAGATACAGTTCATCAAATTTCTAGAGGCTTTTGACGGCTAGACAGAGAAAGCACTACTGACAGGCATCCCGACGGATTTACGCAATGAAAGTACACTCTGCGCATCAAGTAT